TGTAACAGTGATAGCCTAAGTATAAAAAAGATTATGATTCCATTTGAAAAACATATAGAGCATGAAACATTTGTTGAAAACTCATACCTTAGTTCTTTTAATGAATGTGTGGTTTATAAAATTGGCATATTCTCTTTGGAACGGTTTAAACTTTAAAACCAACGACAAACTAGTCAGATTATTATTAACTTTTTGGTTCATTATTTGTTGTTTTTTTTAAAGTAATGAAGCCAGGTATTATATTTAAAATTGTCCTATAAAATATTTTAAATATAATAGATTATTTTATAGACTACTTCCTCCCTCTAGTGACCAGGAATGGGAATACCACATTCACAAGCATTAAAAAAACTGATTCTCAATGTGTTTGTGTAACTCCCCCTAGAGGATGCTTGGGAAATTTGCCAGAGTTATTTTGGTTATTATCAATACAATGAATGTGGGTGCTATTGGCATTCATCAGGGGCATTAAGGACGCTAGCATCCTGCAATGTGATAGACGGTGCCCCATATAAACTAATTATCCATTGCTGAATATTCATGTAGATGAAAAATTTATTATTTAAGCCTAGAACCTACCACTATCCTACATATGAAAACAAAAATTTTTTCCGCTGTTTATATATTCCATTTTTAAAAGCAAATTATTTCATTTACTCTAAAACATTGATTGTAAGATACATCATTGCCTAACAGTAAGAGTGAAAAGAACTGCCAAGTAAACTCTGACACGAAGCTTTTTAAGACTTTTATTTTATCAACAATCAACAGCGTGGAAAGGCAACCTATGGAATGGGAGAAAATATTTGCAAACCATGTATCTTAAAAGAGGTTAATTTCCAAAAAATACAAGGAACTATTGATTCTATATGTATAGCCATCTAACTACTTCATCATGTAATTTAATATAGGCATACCCAAGCATTTACAAATTAAAATAGATATTTTAAGAATTACTTTCTTTTACTTGCCCAGATTTCCACAGCTCATGAAAGGCAGAGCTGGAACTCCAGCCCATGCCTTCTGTCCTCCTCTAGTAAGATGGGGTCGGTAGAACACCAGTAACAAAAGAGGAATGTTATATCTAATGGGTTGAGAACTGTTGATTTAAGGCATGAAGTGAGGATCATGAATTCTTGTTTCTCCCCTTAGTAACTTAGTCTCCCCTTAGTAGTATTGTTGGGGCACTTCCACAACAAGAGTCACTACTTTGTGGATGTGGATGATTTAACATTAAACTTAGATGGCCATATGATCTTATTTCTAAGAAAGTGCCTTCTCATTTTATATGTTGTGTAGGGTTGAAGAATAATATAATGAATGAGTGCACAGGTTCCTGAGTCAGATTACCTGGGTTCAGATTTTGGCTCTATCACTGCTGTGTGACCTTGGATAAACAACTCAATTTCTCTGTGCTTCATTCAATTCCTTCTGAGGTAGAGTCATGAAATGGAGGTGATAATATTATCATCTCTCAGGGGTGTTGAGAGGATTAAATGAGATAACACATTTAAGTGTGTAAGTGTCTGGTGTATAGCAGATGCAAAATAAATGTAAGCTATGATGAATATATACAGGCATACCTTGGAGATATCGTGGGTTCAGTTCCAGACCACCAAAATAAAATGAGTATCTCAATAAAGTGAGTCATACGAATTTTTTTGCTTCTCAGTGCATACAAAATTATGTTTACACTATACTGTAGTCTCTAAGTGTGCAATAGCATTATATCTAAAAAAACAATGTACATACCTTAATTTAAAAATACTTTCTTGTTTAAAAATGCTAACCATCATCTGAGCCTTCAACGAGTTGTAATTTTTTTTTGCCAGTGGAGAGTCTTGCCTCGATGCTGACGGCTGCTGACTGATCAACGTGGTGGCTGCTGAAGGTTGGGATGGCTGTGGGCAGTCTCTTAAAGAGATACACCAGTGAAGCCGGCCACACAGATTGACTCTTCCTTTCATGAACAATTTCTCTGTAGCATGTGATGCTGTCTGATAGTATTTTACTCACAGTAGACCTTCTTTCAGAATTGGAGTCAATCCTCTGAAACTCTGCTGCTGCTTTATCAACTAAGTTTCAAGTCTTTTGTTGTCATTTCAACAATCTTCACAGCACCTTCACCAGGAGTAGATTTGTCTCAAGAAAGCACTTTGTTTGCTCATCCATGAGAAGCAACTCCTCATCCATTAAAGTTTATAACAAACTTAATAAAGAAAAAGTATGAAATATTTCAAGAATTACCAAAACGTGACAGAGACACCAAGTGAGCAAATACTTGTTGGAAAAATGGCGCCTATATACTTGCTTGACATGGGGTTGCCACAGACCTTCAATTTGTAATACCATCATAGCCATATTATACATTTTGGTAAAACATGTTTAAAATCTTCATTTAGATCATATCATTAAGTTTCACTAAAATCTATGAGATTGTCACCGGGCTACTGTATATATAGAGTAGATGCTAAAGAAGAAGCCACTATGCAGCCATCCTGTTTAGCTGGGATGAGGAGACTGATCTGCATGAAACAGCCAAGACAGTTAAAGACAGAAGATAAATAAGTACAACTGGATGGCAAAAGCAACAAGAGCTATAGAATGGTAAGGTGGTTAAGGAAGGTATAGGAGATGAGAGGAGACAATCTGCCAGTTAATACATGTCCGACCATGGATGAGTTAACTTCTCAGTGATTCCTTGGTCCTTATTTATGAAATTAATTCATTTAAAATGCCTAGTGCAATCTACATGAGGTAGGTTGAATGGAGTTTTAAAGAATGGGCAGGCTGTTATTAGTGGAAAATGATTCTATTGACAGGAATAATCAGAGGCAGGGATGTTTCAAGTAGTGGAGATACAAATCTTTTAAAAAATTTGATATGTACCATACACTCCAATGTTCATAGCAGCAGCATTTACAATTGCCAAGATATGGAAGCAACCTAAGTGTCCATCAACAGATGAATGGATAAAGAAGATGTGGTATATATATATATATATATATATATACACACACACACACACACACACACACACACACACAATGGAATACTACTCAGCCATAAAAAAGAACAAAATTTTGCCATTTGCAGCAACATGGATGGACTTGGAGAGCATTATGCTAAGTAAAATAAGTCAGACAGAAAGACAAATACTGTATGATATCACTTATATGTGGAATCTAAAAAATAAACTACTGAATATAACAAGAAGCAGATTCACAGATATAGAGAACAGACTAGTGGTTACCAGTGGGGGTGGGGGGAGGGGAAATATAAAGATGAGGGAGTGGGAAGTACAGACTATTGGGTGTAAGATAGGCTACAGGATGTATTGTACAACACAGGGAATATAGCCAATATTTTGTAATAACTGTAAATGCAGTATAACCTTTAAAAATTGTATAAAAAATAGTAAAAAAAAATTCGGTACATACAACAAGAGCAAAAAGTTCACATGTAGTAGCCTTATGTAATTTTCTAATTTTATGTTCCAAATAGCAAACTCTTTCTTTCCTGCATGGCAAAGTAACTTTCACTCAGCATTTGCTTCTCTGTCTATTGGCTCATGTTATAATCCAAGAGAATTAATCCTTCAACAGTGAAAAGATTCTTTAAGAAAAGAAACAAGGCAGAGTAGTGTCAAAGAAAAACACAAAGTCACTTAATTGTAGCATGCCGTTTCCTTGTTTATGAGCAGGATAAATAAATAGATTGATTTCACCCCACAAAGGCAAAAACAGGATTTATTAAAAGAGGAAAGAGGAGAGAGAAAAATAATTATAGTCTGGGAAGAGTGAACCTTGTTTGCACATTTTTTTTTTAATGGCATAACTGATTAGCTGGCAGCAGTCAATATGGACAGTCTGTCCTTGAATATCTTAAGTGTTTATGGACTCTCTGGAAAACCTTTGTGAGCTAAACTATGAAGCTGGATGCCAGGCTGTTTCTCTGTAATGTCTGCCTGTATCTTTCCATCAGCACCTCATTATTAGCTGTACAGGTCTGCACTACTTCCTTCACCAGAGGTCTCAATATAACTGCTGATTTTCTCGAAATCCTTTGCCCCTAAATCTTTACTTCTAACGAATCTCTTCTGAGTCCTTATTTGAAAGTGATCATAATCTGGGGTGCTTTGTAGTGGAATTTCTATTACAAAGAGTTATAATCATTTTTCTAATATGAATTTAAAAGTTTAAACAAAAATATGCAAATTTAAGTTTTCCTTTTTTTCTTGCATTTTCCTAAGGATTAACACCAGTATTTTCACACTTCAACAAACAGAGCAGATAGTAGTGATAACACTATCAAATGAAATGTATGAACGAACTGACCCGAATAAACAAGTTTTCTTTCTCAAATATTTTAACATTAACTTTTTAAATGTTACTTAAAATATTTTAATTAAGACAATTAGTAGCTCCGGTGCCTGCAAACAGTTGATCATGGCTTCTGCCCTGCAGTGAATTATCACAGAAGAAAAATTCGGCAAAATTGCTGGCTTCATGCCCACAGCCATTCTGAAGCAGGAACTCTTCAGATTAAGATTACAACCCGAGAGTAAGCACTATATAATATGTATACTTTCAGAAATTAAAATCTCCTTTGATTACGTTTCTTCCAGTAATGCTTAATGGCTGAATTTGCACCCTTGCACGTGTGTGCGTCACCTCTAAGTGAGGAAAATACATTTTGCTACTAACATCAGTTGAAAGTGAAAATATTGTCCAGTTGCTTCAAAGGTGTTTGCCAAAGTACATATACTTTAAAATCTGTAAGGCAAATTGAAATAATCCTTTATTATGTCTTCTTAGGATGAGAGAAACTTCCCTTTTAGCTGCTCCTAATTTTTTAAAATCATCACATTTAACACGGCAACACTTTTCTTAGAAATCAAAACCTGCTCATCTCAATTCTTTGGTAACAGCAATGAATCCGTACGTTAAAGAAGGGCTGCGAATTGCTGAATCCAGTTTACTATACAAGAGAGGCCCCATGAGCTGAACTGAATAGACAATAACTAACCTTTCTTAACAGTTAAGTATTTTAAAAGACAGTAGGTGCCTTAGAATTTCATTCAGGGCCTTAGAAATCCACATTCACACAGTTCTCACTTGCTCGAGTTTGGTCTGTAACCATTTATGCAAGCCAAATCTTTTCCAGACTTACGAAATTCATAGCATTTTGTAACAAAGACAAAGAAACATCGCTGACAGACTAGCAAAATCATAAGACGCAACGAACTCTCGCGCGATGTTGAGACGCTACCGCCTAACGTCACCGGTTGCCATAGCAGCATCCCGCAGAGCGGAAAAGAGGGGTGGTGCGAGGGGCGGAGCGCGGCTTCGGCGGAGGACAACGGACTTTCTCCTCCTGCAGGTCTGACTTCTACCAAAATGAGCGGCCTGGATGAGGGCGACAACCTCCCTGTCGCTAAAACCTGCGGTCTCGCTACTCCCGACCATGCCCCGGGACATCCAGACCTAAAGCAGTGTCAGGGCGAGGAAACCGGGGCCACCCTGGTGATGGCGGACACAGGTGAGGGCGGCTTGGAGACCGCCGCAGAGGGAGGCGCGCCCCGGGACCCCGCGGGCTGTGGCCTTGCGCTCCGCATTCGGGTTGCTGGAAGTCGCGGCCGCGTTGCGACCAAAGCGGGCCAGAAAGAGGCTCCTGCTTCCACCGAGGGCATGGAAGCAGCCTCTGCCTGCACCTCGGTGGCAGCCGACAATAGCCAAAAAAATGGCTGTCAGCGTAGAGAGCTGTGCAGCCCTGCTGTCGAGAAGGCTCTAGAAGCCTGTGGCGCAGGGAGGTTGGGGTCTCAGATAATGCCTGGGGCGAAAGCCAAGGAAATGACGACAAAAAAGTGCGCTGTTTCAGCAGCAGCGGAAAAGGAGGGAGTAGCGGAGGTGGTGGTGGAGGAAAAGAAGGTGATGCAGAAGGAGAAAAAGGTGGTAGGAGGAGCGAAGGAGGAGGCCCGGGTCAGGGCCCCGAAGATCAATAACTGCATGGATTCGCTGGAAGCCATCGATCAGGAGCTGTCAAATGTAAATGCTCAGGCTGACAGGGCCTTCCTTCAGCTGGAGCGCAAGTTTGGCCGTATGCGAAGGCTCCATATGCAGCGCAGAAGTTTCATCATCCAAAATATTCCAGGTTTCTGGGTCACTGCCTTTCGCAACCATCCCCAGCTGTCACCTATGATCAGTGGCCAAGATGAAGACATGATGAGGTACATGATCAATCTGGAAGTGGAGGAGCTTAAACACCCCAGAGCAGGCTGCAAATTCAAGTTCATCTTTCAGAGCAACCCCTACTTCCGAAATGAGGGGCTTGTCAAGGAATATGAACGCAGATCCTCTGGCCGGGTGGTGTCTCTTTCCACGCCAATCCGCTGGCACCGGGGCCAAGACCCCCAGTCCCATATCCACAGGAACCGGGAAGGCAACACTATTCCCAGTTTCTTCAACTGGTTCTCAGACCACAGCCTCCTAGAATTCGACAGGATTGCAGAGATTATCAAAGCAGAACTGTGGCCCAATCCCCTCCAGTACTACCTGATGGGTGATGGGCCCCGCAGAGGATTTCGAGACCCAGCAAGGCAGCCAGTGGAGAGCTCCAGGACCTTCAGGTTCCAGTCTGGCTAACTCCTGCCCTGTGAGAAGCTCCTGCACAAGTTTCCTTACCACCTCCTCTTGGACCTGTGCGTAGCCAACAGCATGCAGTCTTCCATTTACTTTCTCTTCACACTGGATTATTTTGTCCTTTTGTCCTCTAAATCCTCAAAAATCAGTGGCAAGATAATCGCTTATATGCCCATGCTCTTCTTCCTCTGAGCCTTCCTGCTGTTCTGCATCGTTACATGTTCCAAGTGCATGGCCTTCCACTACTTCTATGCCAAGCACATGATACTGTAGATATGCACTCCCTTCTTTTGCATGCCCTTGGCCCTGTCTGACGATAGCCTTCTCCCAGTTTTTAAAGTGGTTGTCTACCACAAAGAAGCTTGATATACCTTTGCAAATACTTAGCTGGTGTACTTCATACTTTATGCAAGCTGTCCTCCTGATACCCATGTACTCTGTGGCAAGATCTTTGAGTTTCACTGCTGCAAGATGAAGCTTATGTAGATGATGCCAGTCATCAACCCAAACTGAACATTCCAGGCTACCAATAACTGGTTTCCAACTGTCTTCCTGGGTCCATGCCATCCACGCTGCTGGTTATCGCAGAATCAGCAGCTGGCTGGTGGGTGGCTACTAGGCATGAATGAGGTAACAGATGACAGGTGTCTATGTTATCATGTTGGTCGTCTTATGCCTTTGGGCACCCTGCATTGTGATCACATACTGGTGAGTATGAAGGCCTGTGATATGGCCCACCCGAACCTGCACTCAACCTTCTGAATGAGCTTTGCACAGGCACCATCGCCTTCCTCTTCAGGAACTATCTGTAGACTTAAGCTCCTGGGTAGCACACAGGAACTATCCCCTTCCCTGCCCCCCAAATGGCTACCCGTAAACCCAACTGGCTGTCAGGCAGGTTGGGCAGTCATAATATCACAGCGTCCAAAGCAAAGCTGGTGGGGGGTCCCTTCAAGCAGTTAGACTTTTTGAGCCCTAGCTGACAAACCACCCTTAATCAAGGCAACTTTACTAGGCATCCCCTTCTCAACCCCTCCCGCACCCATTCTGAACATGACAAAATTTGCTAGGTTGGGGGCACCGACGAAGAGGTCTTTCTAGTCTGTGGCGCCTGTTATACATCTGTCTCTGTCTGCGTCTCCCTCCCTGTCCCCCCCCCCCCCACCGCTTCTTCCTCTCAGAAGCAGTTACAGCTCAGAAACGGAAAAGAAAACTGGCAAAGCAGGCTTTTTGTTTAATTTGCTCTCCCTTTGATTGTGTCCAGGAGAAAGGTACTGTGCATCAGACTCCAGGTCTCTTATTGCTGTCTTCTGCCCTCATGTCTCCACCTCACTTCCTTTAGCAAAGTCTAAACATTTCAAAGGAAAACCTGTAGGTTAATTGCCTACTTATGGGCATTGTTTTTTGGGGCCAACTCTGACAACCCCATCCTCTTCCTCATCCATTTACCAAAACCTGTGTGTTTTCTTGAGCTTTAGTGTGAGAAGCTGAGAGGAGACAGAAGGGCCTCACAGTAATGGCTTCAAGACAGACCCAGAGCAGGCTGTGATCCAAGGCAATCAAAACGTAGTTTCACTCCACCTTTCTAAGCATGGAAATTCTTTTTTGGGCCTTGGACCACTTAGAAATAACCCCAAGGCAGCATTTTGAGGGTCACTCGTGTCCTCTGTACTGTTCTTTGACTGCCCTGATGTCCCACAGCCTCCATCCTACTGCCTGGCCTTCTTGGCTCTCAGTCCTCAGCTTCTGCATTTCCTTCCCTGCTTCTGACCTAACAAATGAGGGAGCGGGCTGCAGACTGCATTGTGGGAGCTGCCAAGCCTCTCTCCTGGGGGTAAGGGTGTGTGTGAAAGTCTGCTCCGCGGGGCTTGGGATGTCTGGACACAGAGCAGTGGGAAAGGTGTCCTAGGCTGTAGAAACTGAAAGCTCAGAAAACAAATGAGCTTGCTGTGGATTGGGCTTGAGAAGGTAAACAGGAAAGACTGGAACCCTGTAGGGTCAGGGGTAGGAGGGGAGGCCCCTGAGGTTTTTCCCAGGAGAGGTGGGAGAATGAAAGTGGTTGATGTTTAAAGAGGATGGTGGGAGGAGTTGCGTTTTCCTTCAGTTTTTCCTAACTCCTCGAATTCACCAGTAGTTTTTTGTACACAAAAATGCAAGTCTAAATGTTTTGTATTATTTTAGAATATGTGAATGATTAATGATGTATGCTCCTTATTTCACTGTGTTTGAGTAAAGTCCTGTTAATTCCTTTCTCCATTTATGCTTTCTGGCAAAATTGACATTTACAGGCATGCTTTTTGCTTGTAATTGAGAATGTGTACAAAAATATCAGGCTTGTTTCCTGTGCAGTATGAAGACTTCTGTGAATATTCCCTAATATATCAGCTTGTTCTGTTCTCTCTTCTTATATAGCTCTATTCTTAGAAATATAATTGAATGTGACCTTTGAAACTGTGCTGTCTTGTGGAAGTATTCTCAAACAGAAAAACCTGTCGTCTTGATATTTCTTGGCCTAGCAGTAAATATTGTACTTGACATCCTATGTTCCTAACCAGTGTAAGTACTTGTAGAATTGCTCTGTCAAACTAAACAAAGATAGTACTTTAGTCTTCTCCTATGTGCTCAAAGGAAAAATAAATCTGTTACTCTGCTGTATTTCTTGTTTTCACCAAAAAATAAAAATAAATAAGGCTTGTCTGTTTTGTCTAGGCTAATAAGTGGTTGGAAAATCATTAAAGTTATCAAGTCGTCACAGTAAGTATCATCCTGAACCTTAAAAAAAAAAGGCAATAGTGCACCTTCCAAGATTTTTTGTGTGAAAAATGGTAAATAAGCCCAAGTGCATACTCATAAACATATTTCCTATACAGTCAGTGTAGGTTTTGGTAATTGAAACACCATATATTGATTTTTGTCACTCACTTAAAATACTGTTTTCAGTGGAAAACTGTTCTCTATGCCCCATAATAGTTTACTTATATATTTATGTTAACTATGTCCCACCTTGGGCTGATTCTTTTATTTAATGAGCTTAAGATAGACTTTTGGAAGAATTAATCATTGGATATTCTTTAAGTACTACTTAAATTGTTTTCCTACAACAGTGTGGTGCTCTAAAAAGAAAGAAAAACAAAAAAGTTATGACAAATATAAAGTCTAGAAACATGATATCAGACATCACAATGTCAATTACCAGTAATGTTTTGCTTTTCAGCAGCTATTACATGAAGAATACCGCATTCTCTGTAGCAGAGAGAACAATGAATGCTGCAAGGTCTCCATAAATGAATCACTGAATATTTTTAGCCATCTAAACAAACATTTGACATAAATGCCCCCAAATTACTGATTTGAATTAGAGATTGTTAATTAAACATACAGTTAAAACAGACTTGCTGACTCTTGGTGCAATATTTATTTGCAAGCTCTATTTGCTGAAGTATAATTTTTCTAGGCCTGGAGAACTTTAAGTATTAGAGAGCTAAGTTTTCTTTTGCATGTTTTATACCTATCTTAGTCCTAAATTCCCTATACAATGTTCATTTTACCTTTTCAATTCAGTGATTAATTTCTGCCTTGTCGACCATCTGTTTCAAGCATATCTCTTTATCCTGTTCTGGATGTAATCAGAAAATCATTTTTGTTGGTTTACTATCAGCTTTAGTCTAACCAGTAGTACTCATTTTTCTAGTAGGCTGGTGCTACTCGTTTGTTACAGATTAACATGGTTTCTGTTCTGTTTAGTCTAATAAAATTAGACTCAGTTAACATTGCCTAGGATTCACGCACCACCCGATCGGTTAACTCATATAGCCCTGCTCCATTTCTTTGCATTGCCTTTTTGTTTTTCTTCCTCAATTCTAGACCCCAATTATTCTTAAATCAGACCTCCAAACCAGTTAAAGAGTTTCTCTCATCCTTTTCACCCAAGAAGTATTACCATTTTGGTCTGCTTGGGCCATTATTGCCCTATGAGTAATAGTGACATACTTCATAATTTCCCTGGCATCCTCTTCTATTTTTCTGGGTATTCAGCTCAGGCCAGACACCCACAAAGTCTTCTCTGACCTTCCTTACCAGGCCCCCTACTCCTCCACATCACTCCTCCTGCTGCTTTTGCTTCTGCTTTACCTCCAGTTGACTCATGTTTCCTTACATCAGTTTTCATCATTAAAAACAACCGCCCCATAAATGACCAATATTGCTAATCATTGAGTTCCCAGTCTCATAGAGTCACAAATTAAGCCTTCGATACCCAATTTTGCGTCAGATATGCATTCCCTGGCTTGACAATCTGAAGAGATCTGAGGTGACAGTAGGTACTTCCATGTTTGTTCTTATGTTACCTTCATAATCCTGACAGTTTTACTGTCCCCTTTTAAACAGTTGAGAAAATAGGCTCAGAAAGTTGAACTAAATTGCCTAAGATGCAAATCACAAATTGTGCTTTCAAGCTAGGGTACTTTCCACTGTATCACAGCCATCTGTACTAAATTTGGCATAAAACAAAACAAAAACCCTATTTATATGAGTATTCAATTGAAGGTTATTCTTAACCCATTCATGATGGTCTTTGAAGGGTTTTTTTTTAAATCACTTATTTTAATTAATACAGAATTCCATAGTTACAGATTAAAATACTCCTGAAGTTACATATGTAATCATGATGTTTGCTGCATAAATGAAATTAGCAGTTTGCTCCCTTCATTGAAGGGAGTAAATGTACAAAAAGGACTTTTATTTATTTAAAACATTTAAAAAAAATTGTATATTTTATTTTATTGTACTTAATTTCTGCTGTACAGCAAAGTGATTCAGTTATGCATGTACATTCTTTCTAAAAATTCTTTTCCATTATAGTTTATCACAGGATATTGAATATAGTTTCCTGTGCTATACAGTAGGACCTTATTGTTAATCCATCCTATATATATAATAGTTTACATCTGCTAACCCCAACTCCCACTCTATCCCTCCAACACACCTCCATCCCTTGTCAACCGAAGGTCTGTTCTCTATGTGAGTCTGTTTCTGTTTTGTAGATAAGTTCATTTGTGTCATATTTTAGATTCCACATATAAGTGATATCATATGGTAGTTGTCTTTCTCTTTTTGATTTACTTCACTTAGTATGATAATCTCTAGTTGCATGCATGTTGCTGCAAATGGCATTATATCATTGTTTCTTATGGCTGAGTAGTATTCCATTGTATATGTATACACCCAATCTCCTTTATCCATTCATCTGTCAATGGACATTTAGGTTATTTCCATGTCTTGGCTATTGTAAATAGTGTTGCTGTGAACATAGGGGTGTATGTATCTTTTTGAATTATAGTTTTGTCCAGATATGTATCCAGGAGTGGGATTGCTGGATCGTATGGTAATTCTATTTTTAGTTTTTTTGAGGAACTTCCGTACTGTTTTCCATAGTGGCTGCACTAACTTACATGCCCACCAACAGTGTAGGAAGGTTCCCTTTTCTCCACACTCCAGCATTTGTTGTTTGTAAACTTTTTAATGATGGCCATTCTGACCGGTGTGAGATGATACCTCATTGTAGTTTTGCTTTGCATTTCTCTAATAATTACCGCCATTGAGAGTTTTTTCACGTGCCTGTTGGCCATCTGCATGTCTTCTTTGGAGACATGTCTATTTAGTTCTGCTGCCCATTTTTTGATTGGGCTTTTTTGTTGTTGAGTTGTGTGAGCTGTTTGTATTGGGTTGGCCAAAAAGTTTGCTTGGGTTTTTCTGTAAGATGTTACGAACTTTTTGGCCAACCCAATATATTTTGGAAATTAAGTCCTTGTCAGTCTCACCGTTTGCACATATTTTCTCCCATTTCATAGGTTGTGTTTTGTTTTGATTGTACTTTCCTTTGCTGTGCAAAAGCTTGTAAGTTTGACTCTGTCCCTTTATTTCTGCCTTTATTTCCATTGCCTTGGGAGAATGACCAAGAAACACTGGTATGATTTACATCAGAGAATGTTTTGTCTATGTTCTCTTTTAGGAGTTTTGTGGTGTCATGTCTTAAGTATTTATTTTGAGTTAATTTTTGTGTATGGTGTGAGGGTGTGTTCTAACTTCATTGATTTACATGTAGCTGTCCAACTTTCCCAACACCCCTTGCTGAAGAGACTGTCTTTTTCCCATTGTATATTCTGACCTCCTTTGTCGAAGACTAATTGACCTTAGGTGTGTGGGTTTATTTCTGGGCTCTCTATTCTGTTCCATTGATCCATTTGTCTGCTTATGTGCCAATACCACGCTGTTTTGATTACTGTAGCTTTGTAGTACTGTCTGAAGTCTGGGTGGGTTATGCCTCCTGCTTTGTTCTTTTTCCTTGTTTTGGCAACTCTGGGTCTTTTATGGCTCCATAAAAATTTTAGGATTATTCTAGTTCTGGGAAAAGTGCCATGGGTAACTTGACAGGAATCACATTAAATCTGTATATTGCTTTGGGTAGTATGACCCTTTTAACAGTATTAATTCTTCCAAGATCATGGGATATCTTTCCATTTGGAATCATCTTCAATTTTCTTTATTAATGTTTTATAGTTCTCAGCATATAAGTCTTTCACTCCCTTGGTCAGGTTTATTCCTAGGTTTTTTTTTTTTTTTGATGTGATTTTAAAGGTGACTGTTTGTTGACAATCCCTTTCTGATATTTCATTCTTAGTGTAAAGAAATGCAACCAATTTCTGTATGTTAATCTTGTATCCTGCTACCTTGCTGAATTAGTTTATCAGCTCCTGTAGTTTTTTTTTTTTCTTTTGCGGTATGCGGGCCTCTCACTGTTGTGGCCTCTCCCGTTGCGGAGCACAGGCTCCAGACACGCAGGCTCAGCGGCCATGGCTCACGGGCCCAGCCGCTCCACGGCATGTGGGATCTTCCTGGACCGGGGCACGAACCCGTGTCCCCTGCATCGGCAGGCAGACTCTCAACCACTACGCCACCAGGGAAGCCCCAGCTCCTGTAGTTTTGTGTGGAGTCTTTAGGGTTTCCCATATATAGTATTATGTCATCTGCATGTAATGACAGTTTTACCTTTTCCCTACCAATTTGAATACCTTTTATTTCTTTTTCTTGTCTGACTGCTGGTGCTAGGACTTCCAATACTGTGTTGAATAGAAGTGGTGAGAGTGGGCATCCTTGTCTTGTTCCAGATTTTAGTGGGAAGGCTTTCAGCTTTTCACCATTGAGTATTATATTGGCTGTGGGTTTGTCATAAATAGCTTTTATTATGTTGAGATATTTTCCCTCTATACCCACTTTGGTAAGAGTTTTTATCATGAGTGGATGTTGAATTTTATCAAAAGCTTCTTCTGCATCTATTGAGATGATCATGTAGTTTTTGTCTTTTCTTTTGTTGATCTGGTGTATCACATTGATTGATTTGCGTATGTTGAACCATCCTTGTGACCCTGGGATGAATCCAACTTGGTCGTGGTGTAGGATCCTTTTTCTGTGTTGTTGGATTTGGTATGCTAATATTTTGTTGAGAATTTTTGCATCTATATTCTTCAAAGATATTGGCCTGTAATTTTCTTTTTTGGTAGTGTCTTTGTCTTATTTTGGTATCAGGACGATGGTGGCTTCATAGGCCTGTATGCTAATATTAAATTTAAGTCCTCTGTCCGTTAACACAATTCTCCTGCTTTCTTATTTCATGTAACTTTATTAAAGAATATACAGCT